CGTGTTTTGTTTTCGATGTAAACTCGCGGAGATGAACAGGCCTGGTAGAGCCTGGTCCGTGAGCACGTAGAATTTTGTCCAATGACCCCAAGCTACCCATCCTTATTGCTCGCGCGTAATTATATTGCTGTCGCGACTGTGCGACGGGCGCCCGCAGTGAGGGTGCGAGTGCGACAGCAACATAATTACGCGCGAGCGATAAGGATGGCTAGCTTGGGATCATTGGACAAAATTCTACGTGCTCACGGACCAGGCTTTAGTACTGCTGCTGTCATCCCCACAGCTGCCGCGCCGCCAGTACAACCCGCGCTAAGTACAGACCGGCATCACCACGCAGAAGGCGGCTTCCTTTATTTGTGAGGAGACTTATCACAAGTTAATGCTTATAAAACGTTTCATCCACGAAGACGCGCCCCAACATTCTTACGCTAATGTTTGAGTGTTATCAGTACACGCTAAATCATCCACGAGTGCACACGCACACTACAATAATAAAGCTCGGATTGCTCGGATCAAACTCTCCGTACCTCAAGCGATAATTGGTGGGGCGCGTCTTCGTGGATGGAACGATCTATAGTGCTCTTTCGAAGACTTAAGATACACAAATATCCCCTCAGATTTATTTATAGTCTACGGACATTACATTATGTACAGTCAAAAACTGAACTGATCCAAAATACTATTGAAAAACAAATCGGTTTTCAGTCTACGATCTATTCAAGTCTCTTTCGGATCGTTTTTTTCCTAATCAAATTCAAAATTTACTTTTGCTTTAACCAATTAGGCTAGATATGGCAAAAATAAAATTAACTAGTTGATTTAAGATATCTGGCAAAGTCACGGCAATTTAATTATTCTAAAAGAACGAGGCCGAACTCCCCCTTTATATGTTGCTTATGGCACAATGACGGGGTTTGTGGGTTTCCTGCAATCACTGAGTCATAGACCTTTTTGTCTCTTACCACCATTTCTATTTGGCCACTGCGATACAAGCTTTCTAGCTTAGTGCAGAGACCGCTAGAATAAATTGTACATGTGACATCTTTTAGAAATACTTTTTATGTACCTTTTTTTACTTTTTTATTTTTTATTTTCTAAACCAGCGGTTCCCGAATGGTGGTCCGCGGAACCCTGGGGTTCCGTGGAAAGGCCGCAAGGGTTCCGTAAAAAATATTATCCCACGTTTCGTGACCGACGTTGTTAGCTCGCACCGACTTGTTTACGCACAAGGGAGGGGCAGGGCGTGAGGGCGGAGTAGTACGGGGGTTCCGCTAGGAAAAGTATAATCAATTAGGGTTCCTTGGCAAAAAAAAATTGGGAAACCCTGTTCTAAACCTTGAAAAGTAAACTCTGATCTTTTTACACAGACAACAATGACTCCCTCGCGCCGACGTACCAGATCACCGAGGACTGGTTCAATCAGAAGGTGGCGGAGTTGGTGCTCCGCTACAACTACACGCTAAATCCTCGCGGCGTGTACGAAGCAGTCCGATACATGTACACGTACCATCCTGAGCCACACAACGTCAGCGCTATACGCGACCAGTACATACACGTAAGTGTGAATAGACGATGCACATTTTTCTGCTTGTAACCACGGCTTTAGCAACACAGCCAAAACGTCAAGCTGTAAGTACTCATGTGACTCTCTATTTTAATGCGCATTTTGACTAGAGATTTCTACTGATAAAGCCCTTTTGACAGGGGAACTTCATGGTCTGCACCTGATGAAAAGTGATTATGAAAGTGGAAACCAGCTTCTCCCTGAATTGTGTGGAACTGGCTATTTTACGTCGAAACAAAATAACTAACTTTTACTTCTACAACGGACATTTCTTGCGAAATGCCCTTTTTGATTGTATGAGGGCATGTGGTCATCTAGGTCTTGAAAGCATAATCGAGATGCTTTAGAATTAAATCTAGACGATCTAATTAACTATTTAAACCACATTTTCAATTCCCTGGCAAAATAGCAAATAATGATTTCTAGTCCAGTAGAATTAGCTTTTAAATCGGAAATAATTCCTACAAAAGATTTTATTGTTTTAATGGCTTCATTGGTTGCCCATTAAGACTCTCCTAAGTTTTCGACTTCGACGGAGTTGTGCTTAAGTGGTGGGGGCCCCCGAAAGAGGCATTTTTTCGGTTTTCCGGTTATACCGCGTAAAGGAATACGGCCGAATACTGAAACGCCATTTAAATATTTGACGGCTTCTCAAATAGTTAAGCAGCTCCTAAACTTACATTTCGCATACTCAAAACAATATCTGAGCAGTTCTCAATTTTTAAGCACCTCTCAAATTAAGTTGCACTCAAACGCCACTTAAATGAATTTTCGCATACTGAAACGCCATTCAACGCTAAGCATTACTCAAACAACTGTCAAATCGTCTTAAGCAGCTGTTAAATTTGAGAGTGCTTGCGCGGTATCTTAAATCCTATTATCAATGCTTCACGCGCCTTGTCCTAAGCTACGATGTAGGCCACTATTTAACCCGACTAAAGCCTGGTCCGTGAGCACGTAGAATCCCGTCCAATGACCCCAAGCTGCCCATCCTTATCGCTCGCGCGTAATTATATTGCTGTCGCGACTGTGCGACGCGCGCCCGCAGTGAGTGTGCGAGCGTGACAGCAACATAATTACGTGGCTTGGGGTCATTGGACGGGATTCTGCGTGCTCACGGACCAGACTTTACTGATAATTTCGTGGCACGTTGCCGTGTTTGTCGTTTACCATAAACTAATTATACGTAAACACGATACGACATATCGTCGTGCTATGTATGACACAGCATCGTTTTAAGATACGTCGTCATCGTGTAAATGTAGGTAGGTACTATATGACATCGCAACGGAGCTCGACGCTTTAGCTGGCCTTTTAGATCTGCATGATTACTCCGAAAAAAACATCCGAATTTTTTCGAATGTTGCCATCCCTCTCACGCAAAGTGTGATGTCAACATGAGCGACAGTGACACATAGATCCGACACTACGTAAACGGCGCTTCAGAGTAGCCCCCTAGTCCTTGCACTTCGAACTGGCCAAGGCGGGTCAGCTGCGCTACCTCAACCTCAACACCACCTTCAACTCCAGCATCCAGCTCAACTACCGCCAGACCGAGCTCGCCTTCTGGACCGTGTACCTGCCCACTGTCATCGGCAGGCTGGTGCCTACCTACCCGCCCATCACTGAGGTAAGAACTCTTGCCCGTTGTTGCTAGATGAGCGACAGGACGTGAGATGAAGCGACGCGACGCTATGTGACGTAATGCGATCAATACTTCACGCGTCGTATGCCCTACGTAACAACGTAAGCCATCATTATACAACGACTACTTGATAATTTCGCGGCGCGTTGCCCCGTTTATCCTTTACAACGAGTTCCACGTAAACATTAATTATGACGTAACATCGTACTACGGCCCAGCATCATTTTACGATGTACTAGCTAGCCTTTTAGATCGTGTACTGCCCACCGTAATTCCATTCGACCAATCATTCCGTCCAATTTATTGAACAACACGAGAATATTATCCCTAATCCCTAAACTATTGATTGTTTGCCAACAGTTCTGGTGGGAGCCAAAGCAACCGCTGCAGATAGCTTTCTGGTCTGTGTCGAGTTTCTGCCTCATCCTCATCGTACTGCTAGTCGTATGCTGTATGCTGTGGAGAAACGCCAAAAGGTAGGTACATGGTCTTTCTTTTGATTTGTCAATTTTGAGAAATAATAATTAAATGGTTTTGACTAAGCCAACTTAGGGCTCGCGCGCACTGGTGATACATTTCTATTTCTCCATGGACTTGGTATGAGTGACGAAACAGTTACGACGACAAGTCACCCGTACGCGCGAACCCTAACTTGCATTTGTCTTCATGTATGAAACACTAAAACCGTCTTGCGTGACGTCACCCACATGCCAGTGAATATTTAATTTCTCACTTGTGTTCTTATGACAAGTCATTAAGGTTCACTTTTCAACTAACTGTATTATTTTACTAACAAATGGTATTCTAAATTAAGCTCTATCTTTAACAGGGCTGCGCCTCCGAAATGGAAAATGGTTCCGGCTGCGTAGGTGACATTAACAAATATTAACACTTCCGCTTGCATTAACCACCAATGAGGGTTTTCGCGAATGAAAGATCCGCTAGATGGCGGGACGTAGATGTGGGGTCGGACTGCTGCGTGATTGGTGGATTTTGACATATCTGTCAATGTCATGTCAAAAATAACCAATCATGCAGCATTTGGATCTCGCATCTACGTATTGCATGAATATTACATTACAGCTTTTGTCTCGTTTATGTATTGTATGTGCCGTATATTATCGCTTTCTTTGCATACGTGGGTGAGGACTGTAGTTGCTTCATTGTAGATTTTGTGCTCGTGAATTTATGTTTATGTTAGTTAACGTGATCTTAAAGTCTCTGACTTGGGCGTAGCGTTCGTCAGTGGTTAGATAAATTTTTGATTTTTGTTTTTTATTTATATTAGCTTACAGTCCGCGTGAAATAATTCGTGATACCCCAACAAACAATAGACATCACAGCCTTATTCCAATTATAATAAAGACATGAATGAATTTCTTGCGCTGCTTCTTCTCAGTACTAGTCCATTTACTGTCCCGAAGCAGTGGTAGAGTTAAAGTAATAGCACTGTGTTTTGGAAGCCTACTTGCAAAATAAATGAATTTGTGTTACGAATTTTTGGCTAATTTGTGTGTCACGAACTATTTGACGCTGACTGTACAAAATATTTTTCTGCTGCGAATCCGCTTGACAATCATCTTATTGTTGAACTTTGAAACTCTCTTGAAATTCATCATAGTAACGAAATAAATAAAGTACGAAATCATAACATTAAATAACTGTTTTTCTATCACAGGGAAACGGATCGATACTACAGCGACGACATATTTATGGTGCCCGAGAGCGAAAACGTCGGTATTGAGAACAACTCACGTTCGCGGGACAACATCTACGAGTATCGGGACGTGCCTGTGAAGCGCCCGCCAACGCCTCAAACTATTAGCAGAGCGGTAAGTGTTCATTTCATATCTAAATGATACTGCCACGCCATATCGATGGTGCTCCAAAGCATGGAAGTAGTATAGTGTAGCACAGTTCTAGCTACCCATTTCCGGTCATGTCTACCATTCTCATGAGAGCAGAAAAGAAAACGTAAATGGGTAGCTGAACTTTGGCCCAAACCCCTTCTGACCCGTGGAACACCAAAGTGGTATACCTAGGTGTTCCATGGTTAACTTCTTGTACCCCTGGTTCACCAAGGTGTTCCACGGTTAATTTCTTGAACCCCTGGTTCACCTAGGTGTTCTGCTATTCAAAATAATGTACCCGTAGTTCACCTATTTCGTGAAATACAAGTAATAAGAATCCCGTGGAACACCTAGGTGTACCACTTTGGTGTTCCACGGGTCAGAAGGGCACTAAACAACTTACACTGGTCTACGACTCATCTATGAATCCAGAGACGCAAATTAAAAGGCCGGCAGCGCCCCAAGTTTTAACCCTGGATTATTTTAGTTTCAATTCTCCGACATTCGTTATAGTTATAGACCCAATATACTGAACTGTCCTATCCATGACATTGACAGCGGGGCGCCACTGTCAATACCGGATCTCTGGTTCTGATTTTTGCCATGTTGGAAACTACGTAGTTGAACGGTGGTGGCGTCCCCTTGTTAATGAGTTTGGTGGCAGTTCAGTTTAGGTCATCTATAGCAGGGTTTCCCAATTTTTTTTTTGCCAAGGAACCCTAATTGATTATACTTTTCCTAGCGGAACCCCCGTACTACTCCGCCCGCACGCCCTGCCCCTCCCTTGTGCGTAAACAAGTCGGTGCGAGCGAACAACGTCGGTCACGAAACGTGGGATAATATTTTTTACGGAACCCTTGCGGCCTTTCCACGGAACCCCGGGTTTTGCGGACCACCATTCGGGAACCGCTGATCTATAGCTATATTGACACTGAAGTGGGTTAAAAACGGTTTTAAAAATTAATTCATTATTTATCTATTTAGTCTGCTCATACGTCTATTAACCCTCAATACTACAGTATGCCTATACTTCCCACTTTATTTTTGATCTTTCGTGCATTATTTCAGGCGAGCCAGGCCCAAACGCTGCAATCGCGGCCGGATTCCCAAGCCTCCACGGGCTCGGCGCTATCTCTGAAGGAAAGCGTGGTGTCCCGCGCGCCGGAGCCTCTTCCCAGGGCGCGATCCCGCACGCAAATGGTCGCAGGCGTCCCGCAGACCACTGTATGAATACTGCATGGGTCTTACTAACATTTCGGAGTATACAATGAGGGCTATCGTTTTTATACTTAACAGTTGGCACCCCTGGCGATTGACAGGACCTTACTCTACAGTGGCGCCATCTTGATGAGTGCAAATGCGATAGTCCTCCTACCACTTTAGCGCTCACCAGATGGTGCCACTGTCTTCGCTTCTAGCAAGTGACAGGACCTTACTCTACAGTGGCGCTAACTGGTGAGCGCTAAAACGATAGCCCTCATTAGATAAGTAGTTCAACAGGCCTAGGATGCGCGCCACGCTAAACTTTAAAACGGCATTTATAGTTGTTGCAAATCACGAAGGCGTGTGAGCTTTTCATGTGTGGTGGCCTGCTACTGTTCGTTTTTTCAAAAGTTTTGATAGACATAAGGCTGGTTTTAGTGTCACGCGGACTGTCAGTGCGGATCGCTCCGCACAGCCGGTCTGTATGAACTGCTAGGGAGCGGAGCGGTTCCTCCGGACTGCATTACTCTAAAACGCTCCCTAGAAGATCATACAGATTGGCCGTGCGGAGCGGGTCCGCACCGGACGGTCCGCGTGACACTAAAACCAGCCTTACACACTAAAGTTATGTGCATATGTACACGTACACACACAAGTAAATCTCACTCGCCTTTGAGAGTTGCAAGAACTATTAATTGATTTTGCATTAGCCTTTGTCGTCTAAAATCGTCGATAAGATTTATCATGGCGCGCATCAAAGCTTGGCTGAATAAAAAAATGTGTCACGGCTCGGATGTACACCGGTTGGCCAATAAAAACTAGAAGTTGTGAGTAACCAGTGCGTGTAATAAATTAAGACGTTTTTTTCGGGCATCATAAAGAATGCATGGAACACGGAATCTTCCTTTATGAATCGGTTTTGATAATGTCATCACATCACTAATTTTAGAAACACATCACTAAACAAGTTATCTTCACGAGAAGAAATGATTTCCCGTTTTGTTAATCAACTTCAGATAGATTTTTTTGGAAATTACTTGGGATTTATTTGGGTGTGAGCAATCAGTGACTACAATATAATGACAACAAAATGTATTAAATATAATACTTTGACACTATTCAGTTATTAAATCCACCACCGCTTAGTATTAGGTATAAATATGGCAATTACTTTTATAGCTTTTAAACTTTATTATTTTTTAATTTATATAATGAATTCTTCAATTTACGGCATCTTTTTTTATTTATAAGTATTGTGACAGCTATTTTACAGTGGCCATTAACATTTTTACATTTTAGACTGATCTATTATTTAATTTACATTTATAATTTTATTCTACACAACTTATTTTCTGTTTCTATTTACCTTACTAAAAGTAATTTACATTTCTTTTTTAAATAAATAATATTAAAACTTATCCTTACAAGTATCACTATGTTCATTCCAACTAATTTTAAATATTAGTTGTTAGATCTCAATGGAATGAAAAGACGTTTACGCGTTTGTGGAGAAATAATTATACTTTTGTTTTTTCATTGATACTACAATCTATTATAATATAATCCCGTACTAAGTACGGGATTTTATAAGAAGTGTATTTTGTTACTTTTATAGCGTTATTGCTTTGAACAAGTTACCTCTAAGGTATCTACATTGTGTAATATTTAGAAATTAGTCATAAATAAAATGTGTACAGTTTATAGGAGAATATTTGCATGGATACTATTATGATTGAAACCACACTTATTTGGTAATAAGTTTATTGTGTAGGCTTGGTAGCCATCAAGTGAACAAGTAACAAAAAGGCGGGGAAAAGAATGACATCTGTCAATCAACATAACCTCACTTTTTACATACACTACATACCTTCCCCCTAAGTAAATACAAAATGATATATTAAATAACAGTTTTNAATTGCACTAAATTTCCTTTAAATTGCAATAGCTAAAGTTCTACAAAAATGTACAGTTTTCGTTTCCTTGAATTTTCAAAATTGAATTTTCTTCTGGGCCACCCTGTAAAACAAATACACGAAGTTGTGGAGAGATGGTGCTCGTGCTAGGCTCCGAAGATCCTGTGTTACGAGTTTTTTATTTTATTTTTATTGAAACGCTATTGGAATATTTTAAAATTCATGATCACATAAGTACCTAAGTATATATTACAGTGCGTTTAATAATCTTTTATTTATATATGGATTGTGTATACGTATAATTATAATTTTTTTTCCTGTAAAAAAAAAATTGCTAAATTTGCCGCCCCTCTAAATCTGCCGCCCTAGGCACTGGCCTACTTGGCCTATTGGTAAATCCGCCACTGGAGATACCTAAGTATACTTCTGAAAGTGGATTGTTACGAGTACATAATCTAATACCACCTACCAATATCAACTCAAACAAATTAAGACACCAGCTTTATTAAATTGAAAATAAATGGTATTGAATCTGTAAGGCTGGTTGCACCATCTTACTTTAGCTTTGACAAACGTCAGAAATCGGTCAATCTCCATACAAAAAGCACCGGTTATCGTTATAGTTACGGTCAAAATTAGGTGGTGCAACTCAGCCTATGTATTGAAATGTCCCCGTTTATTATGTAAGTAGGTAACTACTTGTCGATATAAAATCAACCTGCCAGCACTAGTCTAGCCGAAATTTACCTGTATTGTTTCAAAGTAATCTCAAATAGCTTGTTTTTCTTGAGCGTAGGAAACAAACAAATCGTCAATCACAAGGCTCGGGGGTATAATAACGTTATTTATCAGAGCCACTTTTTGTCAGAGTTAGCTGATCGATTCGAAAATGAAGGAAGCTGCCTCCCAAGACAAAAAAGATCTTTTAGGAACCTAGTTACGTATCGTAGATCAAGTACTTTCTGAAATTCCTAATTAACAATGAGATATTTACGCGTCTTAATTATTTATTTTAGTTGCCGTACGATTTGGTATAGAAAAGTAAAAGGTTACAAAAATACAACCATCAAAATCGGTTGGTATTAGATTATTCCAATTTAAAGCGTTTGTATTTAATTTGATTAATTAGCTACAGCACAGCAACACGGTGTGTGGCGTCTTTAAGTTGAAGCTATCGAAATAACGGTTCGGAAAGTGATAACGAATAACGTTATTGCTTAAAAATATTCTACAAGTTTATGAATATTGCTCAATATTGCTAGTTGTCTTTGCTACTAAAAAATATAGCAGATGACAGCACAGCTGTCTTGTCTCCTGTCATCTGTCAGATTCAAAAATTCTGTTGTTGGTTTGGTGCCGGCCGCTTTATTTTTCTAATTAATTAAAAACAATGTCCGCATTTCATGGATTTCCCAGTGTACCAGGACCAGAAGAAACAGCCTTCTGTAAAATAGACGAAGTTTACTGTTGTGGTAACTCTAGATATGGCAACATAACTACTTTTACCAATACGGTAAGGTTAGCTTCATGTTGCATCAATTTTTTGTGGTTTATCGTTGTTTAATTTTACTTTTTAACATTCCAGACGAAACAGCATCCTGTGATCAACGTAGCAAGGGATATCCATCATCACAGAACGACGGATGAGAACATTTCTATGTATATAGATGTTGAAGACAATTTGCTGAAGAAAATAACCAGTGTGTGGTACAAGCAAGGTTTTCTTGAAGCTTTGGGCGTCGCAGCCGATCCCAGCATCAACAGAGAGAGTCCTTTCCTAGCTGTTGCGGCATCTTACGTGTTAAAAGTGGCGAACGTGTTCACAGCATTCCACTACTTTCTGCAGCCACATTTGAAGGACATAGGGCCTAAAATTGTGTCAAACTACTCGAGAACAAGGAACTGGGGTGGTGCCCCAGTGAAGTGTTTGGCATGGCACCCGCACACTACGAAGATAGCAGTGGCAACTGTAGACGATAATGTCAGAGTTTATTGCTCCGAAGTACAGTTTGTGTCGATGTTGAAATGTAAAGCCCAAGGGCATGTATCGTCGCTGTGCTGGAGGCCTTTCTCAGCGTCAGAAATAGCTGTTGGCTGTGAACAAGGTGTCATTGTGTGGACGGTTGACCCAAATTCAATGTTTACGAAGCCATCCTCCAGCAATGCCATTGTTTTGAAAAGGTATGTTTTATTCATAACTTTTTTTATAGCTATAAGTATAATGAATTGAAACCTAGTGAATTTTTCTAGTATTATATCTAGTGAAACTGTGAATTTTTCCCCTTATTATTTGTTTGTTATGAAGTCATCGTATTATGTTTCTTTGTTACTTGTACAGTTAAATAGCACATCAGACACCACATTTTTGTTGCAATATCACACTTAATTAAGATGCCACAGTAATAATGTTATGGGTCTATGTCTAATAGGTAAGAACCTTTGTATACCTACCTGGAGCAATAAAGAATTTGAATAAGCTTAATGTGTCATCATCTGTACCTATAATATTTTACAGTAAAACGAAAGTGCTCTGACTTTCAGACAATTTAAATTATCTAGATAAAATTAATTTTCTGTATCTAATTTCCAGATCAGGCCACAGCCCAGTCACCGATGTGAGCTGGTCTCCAAACGGTGACTTACTGATCAGCTGCAGCGGTGCGGACACCTCGATGATGGTCTGGGACGTTTCCATGGAGACAGCGGTCCCACTGCGCAGGGTTGCTGGTGGCGGAATAGTTTTTGCAAGATGGTCGCTCGATGCTAGTAAAGTGTTTGCTGCTACATCTTCGATTATTTTCCGGTTGGTATAAGTTTATTTCAAGCCGTGTGGTGACGGCAGAGTAGAATACATTTGTCACCAACCCCTACTCTTCCCGCGGGTGTCGTAAGAGGCGACTTAGGGACTACACATCAAACAGAGAATGGGCAGCAGCGCTCTCTGAAAAACATCAATCTTTTAAACTGCGATCTCCAACCCGCCTGCCAAGCGTGGAGATTATGGCAAAACCCTCCACTATAGTGGAGGAGGCTCATAGTCCAGCAGTGGACTGTAAAGGGCTGTTGATGATGATGATAAGTATTATGATTGAAACCACACTTATTTGGTAATAAGTTTATTGTGTAGGCTTAGTAGCCATCAAGTGAACAAGTAACAAAAAGGCGGGGAAAAGAATGACATCTGTCAATCAACATAACCTCACTTTTTACATACACTACATACCTTCCCCCTAAGTAAATACAAAATGCTATATTAAATAACAGTTTTAACCCTCGCTGTACGAGGTGGGGTGTGACACACCCCAGGCCTTTAAAAATCGCCATAATTTCAAAAATTTGCTAGTGCTGAATTTGAAATTCTCAGTAGCTGGAATTATGGCGCTGCTGCTTCGATCAGCGCTGCAAAATCAGTCCAGCGGTGACTACCAACTGAGTTACATGCCTTTAAAGTGCGTGTGGGTGTCACACACCCCACCTGGTACGGGACGTTGTTAAAAAAGTTAAAAAATAATTTAACAGTTTTGGTATAATTTATATATTTTTAGCTTTGTTAATTGAATAAAATTCAATACAAATAATATTTTTCGTAATTTTCACGGAATCTGAAATTTTCAAGCACTTTTAGTCAAATGAGATGACTTTTAGTGCGAACCTGGAAGTTTAGTACTGAGATCCGAAGATGTATGTGAACATACACTTATGGGCTACAATTTATACTTGGTGATACAATTTATGGGCTACTGAAATGGAACAGCATATTTTATAAATAAATAAAATTGTTACGCTCCCATTTTATGCATTGAGCATACTCATTTTCTTTCATCAGAATNAATGTTGTTACAGCGGTGTCAGGGATGCCTAACATTTCTAACCACTGATCTGTGTTAGGTATCTCTATTATCTCTTCCTCCTCTCCTCTCTCTTCTATTTGATCGTCAATTTCTGTCTGGTTGCTTTCATTATTTGCTTCATCTGGCAACTCTTCTATATTTTGTCCCTGATCTTTGGTTTTTAACAGCTGATCCATATGTCTATTGACAATATTACCATCTTTTGTTTTGATATCGTAACTGACTGGGCCATTCACACTGACAACATTTCCAGGCAGCCACTTAGGGCCAGTAGAATAGTTTCTATACATGACTTTGTCACCAATCTCTGTTTTCCGGTTAACTAGACCTTGATTCCGTGCAATTTGGTTTTCAGTTTGTGCTCTGCTTATGTTGTCAGGTTGCACGGTGTCCAAAAGTGTACGTAATTTCCTTTTCAGTAACAATTCTGCTGGACTTTTATTGGTTGCTGTACATGGTGTGACTCGAAGACTTAACAACATATTGGCCATTTTTAAGTCCCACGGTGTATTTTCCTCCAATTTACGCAACTTATTTTTTACGGTTTGGACCATACGTTCCGCCAATCCGTTTGTGGCCGGGTGGTATGGTGCAGTTGTTACTTGTCGGATGTTGTTGGCTTTTAAAAAATTTCGCGTTTCTTGCGACACAAATGATGTACCATTGTCTGAGACTATTGTTTCACATAACCCATGAGCACAGAATAACATGCGCAGGTGCTTGATAACTGTTTCAGAGGTCATATTATTAACAATGAATACCTCTGGCCATCTAGAGTAGGCATCAACAACAATCAGAAAATACTTATTTTGAAATGGTCCAGCAAAATCTACATGTATTCTAGACCATGGCCGGGTAGGTGTTATCCATCTCTGATTTGTTTTAGCTGGCATGTTTCTGTTTTCTAGGCACCGAACACAACCCTGTACCATGTGCTCTATGTCATTATTCATCTGGGGCCACCACACATAGCTGCGAGCAAGTGCTTTTGTCTGTACGATACCACTGTGCGTTTTGTGTAAGGCTTCTAAAATGTGCCCCTGCAATTGTGGTGGTACTACCACTCTACAGCCCAATAATATACAGTCTTGTGATTGTGATAGTTCAGATCTATGCACCCAAAAGGGTCGGATTTCGTTGTCAATGCATTTATTTGGCCATCCTACACTTAGATAATGCATCACTTTTGCCAAGGTCTTATCTTTTCGCGTCTCAATTGCCAATTTCTGTGCATCAAATGGAAACTCTTCTGGTGTTTCTGCCAACAGTAATATCTCTCGAGGCACCTCCTCCGCCTGACTCTGCACTGGTTGTGGCCATCTGCTCAGTCCATCAGCATTTCCTATCTGTACTCCTGGTTTGTAAATAATTTCATAACTATGAGATGTTAAAACCAAAGCAATTCTCATAAGCCGAGGTGACAGCATGGCAGGCAATGGTTTATTGGGGCTAAAAATACCCAACAATGGTTTGTGGTCTGTTATAATTGTAAAGTGTCTTCCCGTTAAATAATGATGAAATTTGTAAATACCGAAATTTATTGCTGCAGCCTCTTTGTCTAACTGGGAATATCTTCTTTCATGAGTATGAAGAGTTCTGGATCCCATAGCAATTGGACGTTCTTGTACATCTTCCATAATATGTGATAATACTGCACCAATGCCATATTCTGAACTATCACATGTAAGTACTAAGGGCTTTTGTAAATCATAATTTT